TCGTAACCATTTCACAAACTTTACTTGCTTTTCCAAAGGGCCAGTATTGCACTAATTTGAAAGGAGAGCTGATACACCCAAAAGTTGCATTTAACCAGCTTCTGTTCCTTGATTTCCTTATTCTATCAGAAGGTTAAGAAATTTTGATCGGAATGTGGCCGCCAAAACAGCAGAAGAAAGTCGTTGGTAAGACAGTACTCAGGAAAACATTGAAAGGTTTCCAGCAATGCTATCCTTTTAAAAATCTGACCACCTGTAGGCCATAGGGTAGGCCACAGGGTAGGCCATGGCCTAGGCCAGGTTTTGTCCACACCCAGCAACTTCTCACCTGACGTTGAACTCCTAAGAATTTGGAGTGCACAAGTCCTGTCTCCAATAAGCAACAAGCATCTGAAATAATAAAAATAATAATAGAAAAAATCAAACATTGTTTTGGGATTTAAGAAAAGAAATTTAGAGTTTTCAAAAAAAAAATTCAAACAAATTGCTGACATTATTTTTTAAAATTGGCTCGGGGATAAAATATTTCATGTACATCAGCATGGCACAACAAAGGAAAAACACCACATCATTTTAATCTTTCATGTGTATAAACAAAGTTACCTGTACAAAGATCTAAGAATTTGAGCATGGTAAGGAAATAGAAATAGATGTTTTTTGTCTTTTTGTGAGTCCCATGCCCATGAGGAATTAGACTTCAGACCTTTGAAATCAGCACTCTCATGCTCTACCACTGAACCACACAGACTCTTTGGTGAGCATGGTCATCATGTGGTACATGTGTATTCTTATTTGCAGTTCACTACAAGGTTGTCAACTTTTATGTTTGCAGAAATACAGTAAATAAGAGTCAAATGAAGAAAATAATATATTAGTCTAAGTGCATGAAAAATACCAGTAACCACCATGTAACAATGTTTCAACACTACTTCAATTATTCACAAATTGAGATTAACAATAGCTAATCATAAATTCAAAATATAAAATGAAAACTCAAGCATGGAAATATGTACCATAAAAACCTGCGGATAAGCCGGACCTTTTTTCCAAAAAACCTTGCTAGAAATTGGGGGTGCAGCTTATCTGCAGGAACATTTGAAAAAGGTGTCCTAAATGTCGACGCAAATTTTCGTTAATGCATCCAATCTAAGGCCTGGTTACTAAGCTTCAAATGTTCTGCTCACAATCTTGATGCAATTCAAAAATCTATGGAAAAACTGTGTCGAATGAAGAAATTCCTCTTAACAAACACCAGAAAAAGATCAATTGTATGTCAAAGTTGGTAGAAACGATGTTCCTTATAGTAAAGTGCTAAAATTGTGGCTAAGACTTTGAAGTATTTTCCATTGCAATGTTAATAGTGGGTTTAAGTTCAATGAACAGTGGATGAAAAAGACTTCTCAAGATTAAACTTTTGATTTCTTCTATTTCTTTCAAAAAACTTTTTCTCCAAAATTTGAGCTGCTAAATTCAGGGTGCAACTTATCTGCGGGTGCAGTTTATCTCCAGGTTTTTACGGTATGTAAAACATGAATTGGAAACAGGAGGCAACCCGAAAATCAGAACACTACCAATACACCATCAAGTAGCTATAGAAAAATGAGTTTGACCAAAAATTAGGACAGGTTACAGCTCAAACTACTTTTTATCTCATAATTTAAGACATTTAAAAATAAGAGACAGAATAAAATCTTCATTTCAAAAATAAAAAAAAAACTTTTGATTTCTTTAAATGTTGGAATAAAGAAGAAGAGGAAAAAAAAGGCAGTTTAGAGATACAACTGAAAACAAAAGAAACTCCTAACCAAATTTTAGAGATGCTGGCCATATGTGCTGCTCCAGCATTGACCCTGCAGTTGATATAAAGCTGTCAACAGACTTAGCATCCACAAACACATCCTTAAAAGCAAAAAAAAAAAATTAAAACTAGAAGAAGATTACTATTGTGTAGTAACATGGTAATTTAGCATACGTCTTCTTCTACTCTTCATTACCATTCCAATTGAGAAATGAAAATTTCAGTGAAAAGATTCATCAATCAAAGGGGCACAGAAACTTCTATCTGAGATTATTTTGTAGCCTTTTTATTGATTACATAATAATTGTACAATACATTTGTTTTCTGTCTTACAGGGCTTAAGGTTAAAGTTGAGTGATCATTTAGTAAACTGCATGACAGATCAAAATTTTGACAAACAAAATGTCTGACCCCTTCCCCCTTCCAAAGCCCATCCCATCCAAAATGGATGCCTGAGCATGAGAGACAGTAAATACAACTCTGAGATTCAAAATGGTTCACTTCATACCACAATCCCATCAGGTGATGCAGCATCTAAGATGTCCCCCAGTGAAAAGAAAGCAAAAAAGGGACATGTTGGATCCTTACTACCAAACATGGCATCTCTGAACAAAAAAAGAGATGAAACAGAATGAAGCACTTATTATTTAAACGGAATCAATAACATTCATAATACTTCAGTAAATTTGTGACAATAATATAATCAAGATGTATTTTGAACTCATGATAACACTTATTAAAGATATGAAAAAAAGATGAAATGTTCAGCAAGGACCTGAATGGGTACTGGTTATCACTGAAGACCAAAATTATAAATGCAAAATTCAAATACTGGTACTCCAAAAAAGTCAATAATTTTAGAAGTCAAGAGATGTGAATAATTTGGAAATCATTGTCTGCCACAAAGCACCTATAAGAAGAAAATCAAGTGGATTCAAGTTTGGATAGGCTGGTTTAAAGCTGGATGGTAGTAACTGTATAAATCTTAATATCAGAAAAAGATCAAAAGACGTTTATCCTCTTTTAATGATAATAACTACTTAGAAACTGAGAGTGAAGTCATTGCAAGAAAATATCAAACCTTACCCCTGTATAATGCCCTGCCCTGATCTCTCCCTTAAACTAATCAGAGCTAGCATTAGATCAGCCACAAGCCTAAGCCAACAGAACTACATATGCACAGCTTTGGTTCCAAGGAAGTGGCAGCAACAGACAGCTGTTTCACTCTCTTTAGAGCTCGTCAGCACTGCATAGCCAATTGCTCATGAAAGACCCAAATTCTTTGTTATGAGCAGTCATAACTTCCAAGGTAGACATAAAGTTTCTTTAAACCTCAGTCACCACACTACAAATGTGGGACCTGCTGCGATGTTAGCATGGCGTAGGAAAAAAGAAAAGCGTCTTCAACAGTACATCAGGAGAAATTGGTTGCATCCCATCTTGGTGATGTCTTCTGCTGGAGACAGATACAAATGACGGAGTTCTTGGGTCCTAGGTATCCTTTGATGACCGAGATGGGATGCAACCAATTTCTCCTGATGCATTGTTGAAGACGCTTTTCTTTCTTCCTACGCCATGCTAACATCGCAGCAGGTCCCACATTTGTAGTGTGGTGACTGAGGTTTAAAGAGACTTTGGTCCACCTTGGAAGTTGTGACCACTCATAACAAAGAACTTGTGTCTTTCATGAGTGGTTGGCTATGCAGTGCTCACAAGTTCTAAAGAGAGCGAAACAGCTGTCCACTGCTGCCACTTCCTTGGAACCAAACCTGCGCATGCGCAATTCTGTCTGCAAGCCTAAGCCATATGACCTCTCATGGGAAAATGTTCCAAATGCTTAGCTGTTTTTAAGCTGACAGCCGTTCGAATGGATTGGCATGCCGTTTGAATGCCTCAAGCTATCTGTTCTTGAATATTCATCATCTCCATTCAAACCATTCAAGCTATCTGTTCAAGAAACTTCATCATCCATTCGAACGCCTCCAGCTATCCGTTCTTGAAACTTCATCATCCGTTCGAACGCCTCCACCTATCCGTTCTTGAATATTCATGATCTGTTCGAATGGTTCGAGCTATCTGTTTGAGAAAGTTCATCATCCTTTCACTAGGCCTTTTGGCAATGATGGAAGAAACATTTTCGGTGTGATTGCAACCCACATCTTCTCTCGTTGAATTCTCCATTTTGTGATTGTGAAATGGCAGTAATTGACACAAGTTGTTAGCAGTTACTAAGGCAATGCATTTTTGATGAACTGACAGGGAAGCTGGGATTATGGAAATTTAAACCTGAATTGAAGTTGAGAACTATCGAATTGTATGCTTTTCACGTGCAAGTTCCTTGGTTGTACCTTATCTTAATCGGTTGAATTCAATAATAAAAATATTAATTATAATCCATTTGAATGCGTCGAAAGCGAAGTTGAGTTATTTAAACGATCCAGTTTCAACTCATTTCAAGTGATCTTTTCACAGATTGTGTCAAATACCTCGTGTAACTTAACACAGCGTCACGATTTCATGAAATAATCCTTCGCTTTGGCTCAAGGCAAGAGCTTGGGACGCCTGTGTCACCGCTCGTTTTGATGAAACCATCTGTTCAAATAATTTCTACAGGCGATCACTTGTTCAAACGCTTAGCTGTTTATCCATTCAATCTCATCTGTGAGGCTCATCTGTTCAAAAAATTAGCCATTCATCTGTTCGATAATTTTCATTATCCATTCATCCATTCGACCCAATCCATTTGAGTAGTAGGAAAAGGGGGTTTCTGGCACATTTTTCAAAATTGCCTGATTAAACAGGGCAGTTTTGAAAAAATTCAATTGCCCTAAAGACAAGGCAATTTAATGCGTCAAAACTACCATGTTTTCAAGGTAATTTTGAAAAAATTATTTTATTCTCACTTGAAAAAGAACAACGATGATCTTAAGGCAAAATGATTGGCACAGTTTTTCTTTCAAAAATCAAAGCAAAATTGAAGAATTTTGAGATTACACTGATTCTCAAGACAATCTCAAAATGCATTTGAACGATCAGAAAAAACTATTGAAATAATCCCAAAAAAAAACACAAAGGCTTATGAAGCATTCTCTTCATTGAATTCCTTCAGGAGGTAGCTCAGTTTTAGGTGGAACAATCTGAAGCTCTTCTCTGACAAATCCTCGCTTTGGTCCATCTTTCAGATAGTAAAGAACAGATTTTTTTTCATTCACAAGTGCTTTTTTGATATTGAAGACTTTTAGAGACCAGATTGGATCTGTTGCTATTCTTTGTCCACCTTCTAACTCGCCAGGAGCATAGAGATATCTCACGTTTTTTGAATAGTCAAGTCTCTTTTCTTTCAAGCTAACAGGTCTTGAATAAGAAGTTGAACTCCTTGCGTCAACCACCTTTTCTTTGATTGCGTCAATTGGTTTCTTTCCAGTCAATCTTGTCTTCTCATGATTCAATGCTGAAACAACTTCTGGAAGCCTCTTCACCCATTCTGTTGATCTCATTCTGTCTTTGGAAGTTCATCTCTTGGCCATACTGGAGACAAAAAAGGCGCTCACCCAAAGTTCGATTAAATCGCTTAACTATCCCCTAATCTCTATGAATGTTTACATTTCCTCTTCTAATTCTCGCATCATGCTTTGCCATCTCTTTAGTTGTTTCACCCATGAATTCATGTCCGGGATCAACCTGAAGAATTTTTGGCAATCTCAATGGCCCTCTTTTGTAAATTGTCTGGAAAGCCTTTGAGACCTCAAAGATTCTTTTGAGGTGAGAGGTTCAGCAGCCTTGAATCTGCTCGTAACATTGACCACTGTCAATGCATATTTATAGACTTTTCTAAAAAGTTTGTCATGAGGAAGGAAAAGAAGATCGGCCTGATGAACTGCATTTGGAAAATCAACATCAAACGTTGGCCATGGGATATGCTTAGGTGAAGCCAAATAAATCTGCCAGATGGCTTGTCTCGTCAGCCAAAGCTTTGCAACATCTTCAGGAACCCTAGCTTCTTCTGCCAACTTTTTCACTGCACCCAATCCTTTCCCCAATCCTTTCCAAAATCCTTTCGGGCTATAGTAAACTCTTGAAAGTTTTCTCTCCATTTTCTTTTGCTTTCACAAAAATCGACTTGCAGCCAATCCCAAAGCTAAAGCCATTCCTCCGGCATAAATCATTTTCAACTTGTTTCTGTTGTGTGCTCGGTTTGTAGAAGTTAGAAAAATGTGGTTTTTTCATATCAAGCTCTTCACTATGTGCCTTGTCGTAAAGCTTTAAAGCATAATCTGTATCAATCAAATGTTGATTTGCCTCTTTTTGGATTCGGTCGTTTGCTGCAATCCAATCGAGAAGCTTTGTTCGATTCTCTTGATATTTCTCATAAGCTGCCTTGTATTTTTCTACAGCAAGATCATGTCTCTTCTTCTCTTCTTCAACACTATTTTTATCGCCACTCAAATACTTTGCGAGATAGCTCCCACTAACAAAACAAATGGAGTTGCATTGATGAGTGCTCCACTGATCATTACTGCTATGCTTGCCATTTTATTAGTCGCTGGCAAGTTTTCATCAGGAAATTAATTTCATAGAATATTGAGTTAGTCTGCATTGTTGCCGCGAACTTCAATGCATTTCTTAAGATGGCAAAATCCTCTGTTCTTCAAGATATTTTTTTGCTGCGATTGATCCAGCGATCATGAGAGTGAACTTTACATAGTTCATGAGATTTGAACTTGGATCAGAAGTCATCAGTTCTTTGATAACTCTCTTTGCTACCCATCCAATTCCAGCAACCAATCCAGTCAATTTAGCTGAATCAGTCAAGGTTTTCACAAGTGTATTTTCAGATATTTTTATTTGGAAAACAAAAAAAATCAATCCATTGGTTTTACTCCTTTTGGAGTTTGAGGCAACTCTGCCAATTCTACCGCAGAGATGCACTGAATTTGCCTAGGTTCTGGCTCTAGTTCTGGGTTTGGTCATGATTTTACGAGCTCCATCAACTCTTTCCTTTTATAGTACAGTCCAGCCAGTGAAAGAACAATACTTGCTACTGAAAGAATTTGAGTGAGTGAGAATGATGATGATGATGATGGCTCTGGTTTTGGTTCTGGCTCTAGGTTTGGCTGCTTCAAAGCATTCACCTTTTTTTGCTCTCCAACTCTTCTGTTATGTTCAGCAAGTTTTTTCCCAGCAGCAACACACCCTGGATCTTTTTTCAGTTTCGTCTTCTTTTTAACAGTTGAAGTGACTTGTTGTGCTGGCGGCGACAGCTCTGCTGGGTGTTGTGTCAGCTGCTCTGCTGGCTCTTGAGATTCTTTTTCTTCCATTTTTATTTCTTGATACATTAACTTTTAAGTCACTCAAGTTCTTATTCAAGTTCTTATTCAAGTTCTTTTTCAGGTTCTTCACAATTACTTTCTACTTCAACATTAACCATATTTGGTTTTAAGGGAACTTCAACATTTTTGGCAGTGAGAAGAGCAGCACTTGTGATCACCATGTACTTTCCATACTTCAAACTCAAGCTTCCTGCAATCATTCCGAGTTCTCTCTTCACAATGAAGTCATCGTTCAGGTCTTTCATGAGTTTTCCTTCATTAACAGGGAGAAAATA